TTTCTGCACTCTGATGCTGGATCTGGCGCTATGAAGGCCTCAGTTTAAACCAAAGGACTCACCTTATGGCAATGGTCGCTGGTTTCATTGTCAGAAAAGCCGTGAAATGTTCGCTCATTGTCAGAGTCCTCCGCAAAAACATCCGCTAACGCTAGCTCTTTCGTGACCATTTGCCTTCCTAGAGCCCCTTCCTGCAGAGATAATAACAACAAACTGAGCTTAGGAATGTTAAACTCACGTGTACTGCGTGTTTACTCTGATAAATACCACATTTTAAGTTACTTTACCATTTTATTCTTGATAACCGTGGACTACAATGAGCTACTAGCTGCTCAAGGTTAGTTAGGTCCGCCGGCGCGCAGCTACCTGTCCAATTAATGTGATTGCTTGTTTTGTGCACTCGGGCAGCACGGAGGCAAAGAATTAGCCTCGGAGAATGCCGCTTTTTGAAACTCCGCCCTCAAGGGGTGAGCTGAATACTTAAACATACAGCCTTTCAAGACACGGAAATAGTGCCAGAGTTTAATCCGTAACTGTTGAAATGTTTGTTACTGTTGGAGGTGTTCTTCGAAATAAAATAGTAAAAATAAATATATAAAATAAGTGGAAAAAATGTTAAAAATACACATGATTTGAGTCTCAGTTAAGCAGCAAATGGTTGTTTGTATTTGTATCAGTGTGGAGGGGAAAGGCTTTTTATGGAGGCCGAAAGGGAAAAATACTCATGGTAAGTCAAAAGAGAGAAATTATTAGACATTTAAATAAGTTAAAACTGAGAGAGTAAAAAACTTTTTAAAAATACAAATATGATATGAGTCTCCCATCATGTTAGCAGCTCCTTGAGGCTGAGCTAAATGCTTACAGTGACAATGCTGAAATGCTGATGGTTAAGAAGGCAGGTACAATGCTGATGGGAATGTCAGCAGTTTTTGCAGGTATTTAATCATAAACCAAAAGTAATGTGCATTTTAAAATGTTGACCTGATGATGGTGTTAGAAAAAGTGTCAGGGGATCAAAGTCAGTAGGATTCATCCTCAGGGGGACATGAATTTGTGTACATGACAATCAATCCAATATCTGTTAAAACATTTCACTAATTTTTGACTCAGAAGGACAGATTGACTTAATATATTGTTATTAAAAAAAAATCATAACTTTGATTTAATAAATCCTGTATATGACATAGAATCTACATTTGACTCACTGTGTGTATTTTTATTATTGTCTTTCAAATATTTAAGCTTTTGTCTACTTTTCCTGACATAATTGGGCTACCCTGCTTTGACGTTCTATGATTCCAGATTGAAGAGGTTTATTATCATATGTACAGTAAGAAACACAGTGGTTTGTACATACAATGAAAATCTTACTTTGCCTGACTCCCCGAGGCAACACACAAGCACAAGATTATCTTGTTATCATGAGACCTGTCAGTTGGTGGGATATATTAAGCAGCAAGTGAACATTT